GAGTATCAAATACATTCTAAGCATAATACTAAATGATTTTTAAAAGTTCATTTTAAAAAAAAAGTTCATTTTCTACACAGTAGATATGGCACACTCCATATGTACCATGCACTGTCTGAGAACTTTATATGAACAGTTGACCCTTGAACAATGGGGGAGGTTAGAGGTACTTGCTTTCTGCATTGTCACAAATTCAAGGATAACTTATTCCCCTAATACTCAACTATAATAACCTATTGTTGTGTATTGTCAAGTTGTACTGACCCATAGCCGACCCTCCAGCGGGTTTTCAAGGGTAGAAAATCGCGTGAGAGGAGGTTGCCCATCTAGGGTTGATTAAAAGTTACCGATAACAGTTAATGAACACGCATTTTGTATGTCACATGTATCAATCATAATGCACCTACTACATTTTCAATTCAAGTATTTCACAAAAAGGACACCATTTCTGTGCCTGCTGGCATAGCTGCAGCAGTGGCCTCACAGATTTCTTCTTACTTGTCCTTAAGGGCTAGACTCTTGTCTAGAAATGGACAGTCGTAGCTACGTGCCCCATTGACAGTACGTCGCAAGCAGTTTGGCTTTTGTTGTAATGTCATGATTTTGCTTTTTCGAGCACTTGTAGCTATACTACTGGCACTTCATGGGGTCATTCAGGGTTTATGTTACTGCACTAAAAAGATGAAAGACAGCAAAACTGAAATTGCTTTTGACTGTGATATGCTATTTACTGGGAGACAAACTGCTCACCCAGAAAAGATTAATGTCACAGCATCTTTTAAAAACCTGCATGTAAATAGACCTGTCTGGTTCGACGGTTCAAGCCCATGTTGTCCAAGGGTCAACTGCAGTATCCTTTCCCCTACAGGAGCTCTGAAAGGTAAGTACCACTACTGTCTCCATTTTGCATGTGGGAAAACTATGACACAGTAATGATAAGTCAGGATTCAACTCCCGGGTTCTGCAAAGTGTGAAGCTCGTAAATCATTGCTGTTCACCAGTACTGATACTGTGTGCGTAGAGTTGGAACTGACTCCTAGCTGACCCTCCACTGGTTTTTCAAGGCTGTAAAGCACACGGGAGGAGAATGCCCATCTTTCAGAACAGCTGGTGGATTTGAACCGTGTGCCTTTATTTTGGCAGTGCACTTCCTTAGCCAGTAGGCCATCAGAGCTTGCTCCAGCACTACATGGGTGTGTAAATTTGTCCATTTACTCCCCTTACCCACTACTTAATTATTTGCTTAGGTTTGTTTGGTCACTAGCACAGAATATTCTTAACAGAGAGCAAATTATTTCTTTATGCCTTAACTGATCCACCCAAGCTTGAGTCTTGGCCAAGCCTCTAGAGTCCCATCAATGTGCTCCCTCTAAGGTATCTTGAGGGCAGTTGTTACTATCCGTTTTTCAGCCTAATCTTGAGTTTCTTCTCTGCTAGGAACCAGAATGCCCCTGCCCTACCTGTTAATTTTACCTCCCTGGAGACTGGTTTCCTCTCTTTCCTCAAATGAGCTGGCTGCTCAGGGAGGCGGTAGCTGACACCTTTCATTCAGCTGCCAGCTCCCAAACCTGAGGATTGCATCTCTGGGAGTGAGACAGTTCTGGCGTAAGGTCCAGGCCGTGCTATTTACTCATCGAGGGACTTGGGCTAACCCAGCTCTAAGCCTTTATTGACGCATCTTTACAAATTGGTTGGATGATAATAGCAAGGCATTATGAGAGTGGAGAAAGATAATGGGCCTATAGACAATAAATAGCTATTATTAGTATAATGACCTAACACTATTGGGCTATGAATTTTCATCTAGTTCCAGTCTCCCCCAGGAAAGACAGACACTCTCTCCCCTACTATAATCAGAACCCTTCTATTTACCATGCGTAGTTCAGTGCTCTGAAGAGAGGCCCCTCAGAAGAGCTCGCCTCTAGCAACCCTGCACCAACCCCTGAAGGCTCTGTGCTAGTTGGCCAGGGTGTCTGGATGACTAAGACAGTCAGTGGAGACACCCATAAAAACAGGAAAAAAGAAAACATGGAGATAACGGAGATAATGCAGGGGCCACGACAAGGCCTGGTGGGTATAGCTGTGTCCTCCTATGGAGGAGCTTGTTGGAGGAGAGAGGGTTGGGCGGTAGGGGTGCTGGGTTGAGGTGCATGCTCCCTCTGCTGCTGAAAGGAAGTGTCCGGGTCTTTCCCAGTTGCTGGCAATGCTGGGCTGTGTGCCTGCAGAGGCTGCAGAGGGTCTGCCCTTTGAGGCTGTTAATTCAAGTTGATGTGTGATGGGGGAGGAGGAGGAGGAAGATTGAAGGCTTCTAATGAGAAGCATTTCCCACTGCCTGCCCTGGGAAGGGAAGCTTGGATATGGCCACCTGGCCAAGGCCCCTCCAGCCTAGCCTGGTGTCCATTGTCCTGCCAGGACCAGGATTTGGTGCTCAGGAATCTCCGAGTCAGCCTTACTGGGACCTCAGTAAAAGGAGGTTAGTTTGGGATCCCAGGTAGGGATCCTTTTTTACCTTTTCCAGAAAAGTGGCCAGGGTCCTGCCTTGGGGGTACAGTAGGGTTGAGGTCTGAGTGAAACTTAGGGTGGTGCCTGGAGACCCCAGGGCTGTGTATCTCAAGGGTGAGCTGCTTGGAGTGCAGGGGAGGAGGGGAGCACAGCTAATAGGAAGCAGGTGGAAGGGCTGCCTGTGCGCTAGCCAGGGGACACGCAGGCTGGGATGAACGTCAGCTCACAGATAATCCCACTGAGCAGGCTCCGGGATGCCCATTCATATTCATTATGTGTGAAGTAGGCTGTTGTAAAGTTAGCTTTCTCTTCATTTAGCTGTCACTGGACAGAAAAATATGAGCTGTGGGCAGACGCCCCTGGATCAGAGCCAGTAGCTGGTCTCTGGCCTCCCCGTGCCCTCCCCGCCAGAGCCCCTCTCCTGTCCTTTGTCACCTCTGCCTCTTGTAGCATTGATCTCTGCTCAACTTAATTTTCTTCTCTCATCTGCCTCCTCTCTACTTCTGCATCCTTCATCTATCTAGGCTGTAAATGAAGGAACCATGCTTTCCTTGACTGTTGCTGTCTCCAGCACTCTGGCACAGGGCAAGCATTCAGTGAGTATTTGTAGAACAAACTAATCTCTTTGACTTTTGTGAAGTGAATGGTCCCAAACTGAATGACCACTCAGTGAAGAAACTTCTGGTGCAAAGGACGTAGCCTTGGTGGCTGGGGTTGCCTCTTCGTATGGATAGCCCCAGGCTCTCTTCCCTTCCTGATAGATCCCAGGGTTTACCCCTAGGCCTCAGACCATTTTCAGGACAGACACAAGCAGCAGGAAGCTAGGCTCTCAGACCCACAGAAAGGAAGCCACTGGTTTCTTCTTGGGGGTGAATGCTTGGGCTGGAATGGTCCTGCCATCTGATGGACACTGCTCCTTTGGAATGGCACGGTGCTGGTGAGGACGGCTGGGGCATGGCCAGCTGCTAGCTGAAGCTGAACTCCTTTGAGCAATGTGATCGTATTCACTGGGAAGGTGAGTGAGGTGGTTGAACTTTTCCCCCTGCCCTTCATGTTGAGGGAATAAGGTGAGAATGAAGGATAGAATGGGTGGGACTCTTGATACTTTAGGCTTCCTGCCTTTGTCTCTGCCCCAACCTCGAATGGGAAGAATGGGAAGCTGCCCGACCCCTACCCTACATAGCTGGGGGGCGGAGGCGTGGGGGGTGGATTTTCCTTGCCCTAGGAGAGCTCAGAACCGTTAGTGGTCTTCTGTTCCACTTCCCTTTTGTTGTCATTTCAGTCACAAGGTTAGCCCTATTTGCATGCAATCTCCCTCCCCATAATTTTCTCTGTCAAATGTGTTCACCCACTTTCTTTTTTTTTTTAAATTTTTATTATTTTATTATGTGTGTGTGTACCGTCAAATCAGATCTGACTGGTACAGGAGGAGATTGTCCCTTCTTCCCCGGCAGAGCATCTGGTGGACTTGAACCGCGTACCTCTGGGATTGCAGTGCAGCTTCTTGCCACTAGGCCACCAGAGCTCCCCATCACCCACTTTCTAGTACAAGCTAAAGCTCCAGAGCTGGTGGGCTTGGGCCCTCCCTGAGGGCTCTGCTGCAGGCCTACCTTCCTCCGACCCGTGGGATGGCTGGCTGCCCAGCCGGTGTCCTGGGCACCAACCAGCTTAAAAGCAGCAAAGGGCTGAGCCCTTTGGATATAGTCACCTGGGAGGAAAAACTACTGCTAGCTTTATTTTTATGCTTTTGTTTTTTAATACAAAAGTATCTTTACAAAAGTGGGGGGTCTGGATCTCCAGGCTCAGAACTTCTGGAAATCTCTGTTCTTTTATTCTCACCAACATTCAAAGAGGGGACCAACGAAGCCCATAGTCAGTACTTAAGTCTGGCTTGATCTCAAGGAAAAGACTGCACAGTTTGGTGGTTTCTGGTGAAATTTCTGCCCCTTTGAAGGGGAGAGTGATTCCACAGCATGTTTTGACAAGGGGCCACACAGCATAGTTGAAGGCAGGAGACATGGGCCACTTTACGCTGACCTCTAGCTCTTAGGCCACTGTCAGCACCAGGATACTGGGTGCACGCCTCCTAATGGAGAGTTGAGGGCCAGCCCTTGGGAGTCAAACAAGACTCTCAAGAGTTTTCTGGATTCACAAGGAGCTCCTCCCAGTTCAATCTGCATTCCCTTCTCTGGTCTTCTAGTTCCCTGAATGAGGAGCCAAGGAAGCCACTTCAGCTGGAAGGATGCAGACTTGAGGAAAGTCTGGGGGAAGCAGAACAGTGTCTTTTCCCCTCTAGGTCCATCTGGATGAGGGAACCCAGTTTGGCAGAAGAGGCCTGAGCACCTGCTTTGAAGCCCACTTGGTCATGGCAGGCCCACCTTATTATTCTACTACAAAGAACCCTGTAGCATAGGGTCCAGCTGCTCTGCCTAGGCCTCCAGAAGCCAACTGGGGCTTAGAGGCAGAGGTGTGTTCCCTCTGGGGTCCAGGCAGGGGTAGGGTGGGAGCAGCTGCAGACGGGGTGAGCAGCTCAGTCTGTGCTTCCTGCTGTTGATCACGTGGTCCAGTTCAGCAAGCTAGGCGGCTCCTTGGGCTTCACCCTGAGTGAGACGAGGCCTGGAGACTTATAGTTGCTGTCCGGGGAGGGCTCAAAGCTGTGGCCCCCCAGGGTTGGGGAAAAACCGTGGATGGAGTAGATGCCAGGGTGGTGTCCAGGGGAAGCTGGCACCCCCATGAAACCAGCGACATTCCCATGGGAGTGAGAGTATGGAGACATGCACGGGGAGGGGATGCCCTCTGGCGACACCAGGCAGGGGCCCCCGGGGCTCCCCGACCCTGGGCTGGGCCACAGGGAGTTCTGCAGCTGAAAAGAGATAAAGAAGGTCCATGCATGAAGCTGTTGCTCCATGGCCTCCCCTACCTAGAAGTTCTGTTGCTCTAGGGCCTCGGAAACATCCCAGGAAACCTCCACTTGTCTAAGACCTAGAATCTGTTCCCTCCTAGTCTCCCACATTGGCAGCAGCACCTTAAGAGATGCACTGTTTAAAAAAAAAAGATGCACTGTTTCTTTTTATTATTATTATTATTACTTATGTGTGTACCATCAAATCGGATCTGACTGGTACAGGAGGTGATTGTTCCTCCTTCTTCAGCAGAGCATGTGGTGGATTTGAACCCTGCACCTCTGGGATTGCAGTGCACCTTCTTGCCACTAGGCCACCAGAGCTTGCCAGGCATGCACTATTTCTTAAAGGAGCTCTGCAGTGGTTCCTTGGTGCTGGGTGCAGCTGCTCTGCAGGCTCATGCACAAAGATAAGTGAGCGGCCCACACTCAAAATAAACAGGGCCCTGCCATCGCTCTAGAACCCTAGGTGTTGCTGGTTACCACATGGGGCATGGCCAGACCGTGAGGTGAGGGTGGGATGGGGTCTCACCTGCGGGTGGCTGTTGGTCCGGGGCAGCACAGAGATGTCATAGGCAGCTGTGAAAGGGTTCCGACCCTCCTGGATCTTCCCATAACGCTCTCGCTTCCGCCACTTGGCTCTGCGGTTCTGGAACCAAACCTGGGGGTAGGAATGGGAGGAGTTAGTAAGGCAACCAGGATGAGTGGAGCCTCAGGACATGCCAGTGGTTGTGCTGTCCTACAGCATGTGGAACTGGCTCAGCTGAGGGATCTTGCGTTTCAGGGAGCTTGTAAAGCTGCATTGCGCCACAAAGCCTGGGGTGGAGCCTGGGAGAAGCTCAGGGCCAGTGCAGTTTACTGGCCCCAGGGGCCCCAGCTGCCACTATGCAGGCTGTCACGCTCTGGTCCTCCAGCCTGGCTGGGCTGAGTATGGATGGGCACCAGGCGTGTCCTTGGGCTTCACGGGTGGAGTTGAATACCTGCGCATGTACACTGGCTACCTAGTCCCTCAGCCCTGTCTCCTTTTCCAATCTACGCATCCAAGCAACAGAAGAATCTGTACCTCATTTCTATTCTGGTCACCCTCACTCTTAAACTCTCAGCAGCTCCCCAGGGACCTCAGCCAGACCCCATTTCATTAAGATCCCTTGGGACAGACTGGCCCCCGGCCCCTCTCTGCCAGACAACAGCAATTCTTCCCTGTTGCCTCCTTGCCCTCACAAAACACTGTCTCATCTCGTGCTTCCTTTGCTTAGGTTTTTCCTCCCCAACATTTATCAGAGCTGGATGCAGGCAGGTGAGGCCCTGCACCCTGGTGACAGATCCTGAGAGGTGAGCAGCAGGGCAGACGCCCAGGTTGCTGAGATCCCAGAGCACGCCAGGGGCAAGGTCAGGGAAAGGCCGCTCCAGCTGCCAGAATTTCCTTTCCTCACTCTCCCTCCCCTGCAGGCACTAGGAGCCTGGAGCCAGCCAGTCTGATTACTGGGAACTGACTTCCCTGTCACCACCCATTTTTCCCTAGAGCCCCGCCTGGGCTCTGTGCCTGCCCTCCGCATTGTCTGGTGTGTGGTCTTATTTGGATCATGCACCAGGACTTCAGTCATTGGTGAAGATTCTGGACAAAGTCTGGGGCTTCAAGACTGCCCCTCTGTCCCTAACCCCCAGCCCTCCCAGAGCTGAAAAGCCTCGGAGCAGTGGAAGAATGTGCTCTTCATGTCCTCAAAGCCATACCACTGGGAAAGCTATTTAGACCCCACCCCAGGCCTGCTGAGGCATTCTGGAGATTGGGCTTCTAAATTTGCATGGTTTGTATAATCTGGGAGTGTACCGCCAGTCTCCCACGTTCTGTGAGAGCCCTTGCTTCTCAGCCCCTTCGGAAGAGTCTCTAGAAGGACGTCATGCAGGATGTAATAAGCATGAGCTTTGCCCCTACCAAAGTCCCCTAGGTGGTGAGAAAGGCAGACCCCTCTCTAGAAGCCCCACCCCAGGCCTCTTCCCTATACCACCGCTTGGCATGAGGAGCCTGCCATGAGTCAAAGCGAGGGGATGGCTGTCTTCTCGGGCCAGATTTATAATGAAGTGGCCTTCCTCATCCTGATCCCGTTTGCCACCTTCCCCACTTCTAGCAGGTCTCAGCATGTGGACCTCCCTCATCTCTTCCCCTGTTCTGGTGGTTCCACCCTACCCATCCCCACAGTCCAACTCCAGATCCACCCTGTGTGAAGCTGAAGAGGCTCCATCCAGAAAGGCCTGGGGCCTGCTCTCTGCTAGGGGGGTTGTTGGAGTGAAGAGGGCGGCTCTCAGCCAAGCAATGGCAGCTGAGGTCCTCCAGTTGGCAGGGATGGAAGGCTTAGGGTAACTGTAAGGGTCATTGATGCTGAGACCCTCTAATGGGTCCTTACATTCTGGGCAGCCACCTCTGATAGGTGTTCTGCACTTAACTCTCAAAAATGCTGTTACACTTGCAATCCTCCACATACTCCCTAAGTATGTGATACCATTATTTATTTCCTTTTCCTAAATGGAGAACCTAGAGCTGAGAGATTCCCAATGACATGCCCAAAGTTACCTGCTCAACTAGTGAGTGGCAGAGCTGGGACTCTCACACAGGTCTTTTGATTCCAGAGGGCCATTAGTTACTCCAACATAGCACAACCCTTCTTCCCCTCACACACCACACTGTATAAACCTCAGTTTAGGCAGGAAAAGCCTGTAGCTGCAAGAGAACCTGAACAAGGTTAAACCCAGGGCCACCTGCGCCCACCTCTTTCAGCCCTTCTGGGGTCTGGCCTGCAGGCTGAGGTCACCAGAGAGCCCTAGGCAGGGGACGCCCTCACCTGTACCCGGGCCTCGGTCAGGTCTGTGCGCAGAGCCAGCTGCTCCCGGGCATAAACATCAGGGTAGTGGGTCTTCTGGAAGACCTTCTCTAGCTCCTCCAGCTGGAAGGTGCTGAAAGTGGTGCGGTTGCGGCGTTTCTTGCTCTTGTTCTTGGCCAACTCCATGGACTCGGGGAGTCCAGGGGACAGAGGGACACGCAGGCTAGCGAGACAGGGGCCTGGGGAGCCTTGCACATTAGAGGGTCTGTCCCCGGGGCCTCCTCGGCAGTCCAAGGGCAGCTGGGGGAAGCTGGCAGCTTTCGAGGCCTTCTCTTCAGCTGCAGTGGAAAACACAAAAAAGGAGGATGGAAACAGAACCAGGGGGTTTTGTGGGTGGAATGGAGGGAGGGGAAGAACTTAGACGCCTTGGTCCCGCCTCCCCTTCCTTTTCCTCCATGGAGCATGGCATTTTGAGGCCTGCCTGCAGAGCCTCCAGCTGGGGAGGGGGCCCTGGGGAGCCATGTGCTCTGTGGTCTGGGCGGAGCTGTGAGCCAGGGGGGTGTTCATTTCGGGGAATTGCTCTGTGGTGGTTCATCCCATGGGGTGTGGAGGTGTCAGGAATGGCGCCATGGCAGGGCCTGACACCCTGGCAGGGCTGAGGATGGGGGTGGGGCAGGGGCATTGAAGATGGAGTGGTTGACATCTCCCACCCCTGCCAGGAAGTGCTTCCGCATGGCTGACTGTAGGCCTGGCTTCCCATGCCCACGCCTCAGCTCCCAGGAGCAGAGACAAGGAAGCTCAGACCACCTTTGGCTGAGCCTCCTGCTCTGAACCCAGAGTCTCAGGTCAAGGTCAAATTCCCTGGCTCAGGGTGTAAGGGGCAAAGGAACTTCCAGAGAGATGGTCCCTGGTCTTTCACCATCATTCCTAACATAGGTGATGTGTTGGCAGGGGCTCAAGCTCAGTCTTGTAAAAGGCAGGAGACAGGTGATAGGAAGAGAAAAATAGTTGGAGGTCCAGCGTTACAACAGGTACAGATCCCTTTCCTCCTTGTACACCCTATCTCAGGAGGTCAGGCTTATCCCCAGCCTGTGATTAAAGCTGGGGTAACCCAGGCAGCAGGTTGGGAATATTCCCCGCATCCCCACTCTGAAATGCTAGCCCTCACTCAGGAAGCTTGGCAGAGGCCCACTAGTATGGGGGCATGGTGAAAAATAGGTCATGGATTACCCCAACCCTCTCTTTCTGGTGAGGACCCCCAGCATGGTCCCCATAAAGTCTCTCCTCAGCAGTCTACTGAGATGGCAGGAGTTATGCCACAAAGATGTGCCACTGACACACACAGCTCCCTCCTGTGCCCCAGTCCCATCTCCAGCAGGGGCCTAGCCCCCAGGAAGCCCCAGGGACTGGCACACAGAGGCGGTTTTTACCCTGATCCCAGCTGTAGTTAGAGGAAGCCTGGGGTGAGGGAGATGGGCTTCATGGCATCTGGACCTGATGAGTCCCTCTCTGCACCAAGGAGGCCAAGCTGTGGAGAAGTCACACCACCGGTCACCACCAGGCCACGAGCTCACCTCCACACTGTGAGTGTCATGGAGGACTGGGAGGGTTAGGCTGTGCTGGCCTTGGGGCTCGTGACCCACAGTGATGGCCTAGACCTTCATAGCTCAGGTGGAGTACAGAGGAGACCGCACCTGCCTCCTGACCTTCACTCCTGGCAAACACACACTGGTTCTCAGGATAAGTGCATTTGAGAGGTTAGGAAAAGAGGGTTTAGGGACATTGAACCAAATCATTGTCTGGGAAACAAGGGTGACTACCTAGCATTTAGCAGCCCCTCCAAGTGTGAGGAAGGAGTTATATGTCTTGGGTTCACAAGAAAGTCTTGCATCCCAATGGGACTTCAAGCAATACAAGCAATAGTAGGGCAAGTGAATCAGGACTGGGCGTGTGTGTGTGTGTGTGTGTGTGTGTGTGTGTGTGTGTGTGTGTGTGAGAGAGAGAGAGAGAGAGAGAGAGAGAGAGAGAGAGAGAGCCTCCAAGCCTGAAAACACTGGCTTACACATCCACCTCCTGTCCCCTCAGTCTGTCCCAAAAGGACCTGCCCGGAGGCAGTGACCAGAACTCAGACTCATGATCAACAGAAGAAGACGCCCTAGGACTTCTCAAGAGTTTTGACTGAGAATATGGGCCAAGCCTGCTGGCCTCTGCTTGCCTCTTATTTCTGCCCACTCTATACCTTCTCAAGGGACCAGAGAACTTCTCCCTGCCCTGATCAACTGCCCTGAAATCTCCTTTATCTGACTGGTGGACTCTAGGGGTGAGGGCAACACCCTACCTCAGGGCATTGGGGCACCCCTCAGAGAAAACAAGCAGCTCCCTTAAGAGTAAGGCCCAGTAGAGAAAAAGAGATGGAGGCTGGAGAAACAGAGGCAGTAAGCAAGGAAAACCAGGGGAAGAATTGGAACCAGTAGTTTTGCACCTAACCTAAGAAGCTGACAGAGTCCTCTGTAAGCCCAGGGTGCACTGACCTATTGGTTTTAAGAGTTACACTGGGACTCCTCGCCCACACAGCATGATTCCACTAGCACAGCTGAGTGGGAGTGGGCAGGAATCTCTGAGATGGCAACAAAGCCTATATCCTGACTCCAGTTCCATTGCGTCTTCTCTCCTCCTGCCCCTTGAGTCCTGTCTCCCAGTGGCATCGATCCTCTCCAGTACTGTTTGGCCCGTGCCACTGTGAAGACCAGGGGACCGAGGAGGGGCAACAATTCAGACTGCTGGGGATAGGTGGTCCATGAGGTCTCCTACAGTCTCCAGTGTCAGGCAGCTATTGATGCCTCCCAAATAAGCACTGGTCTTCCTTGTCGTTACCGCTTCAGCCTTGCTCCTTGCTCTCCTTGTTTCTCCTCATCAGCCAGGGTCGCACAGCAGAGCTTGGGCTCAGCCGCCAGAGGGGCGCTCATAGTGAGTGTAGGTTCCGCGCTGGGCCCTCGGCGGCGGTGCAGTGGCCCTCTATTGGTCCCCAAAATAGAGGTCTGGCGGTCTCCGTGAGGGTCTTTGATTTACCCCTTCACGGGGTTGTAAGAGCCGCCACGCTAAACTAATCATAACCCTCAAAGCCATCAGGATAGTGAGGGGAAAAAAAAATTCAAGTGGGAGTCAAGTCCTGGATAGATGCACTCCAAGGGAGGGAACCCAAGTGCGGAGGCAACCTCTAAGCGGCTTGGTGAGATTGGACGCCCGGCATGTCATGAATCCTCTGAGAAGCCACGTGTGTACAGATGGATCGAGAGTGGTGGGCACAGTCTGAGTGCGGCCTGGGCATCTCGGAAAAGCGCGGCCTAGGGCGGCCGCGGCGGCAGAAAATCACGGTGCGGCTGATATTCGCGCGCAGAGAGTGGCCGGCGGAGGCACAGACCGCGCAGCAGATGGGGTGCAACTCACGCTCGCGGCTTTGAACTGGAGACTTTCCGAGCCCATTATTAAGAAGCCCTTCGCGTTTCCCTTCTGCCGGCCACTTTCCCTCTGAGCCGTGCGCGCGCGGTGTGAACCCCGGGACCGTCCCTGAGGGCAGAGGGCTCGGTCTGGCAATGACTTGGCCCTCGGGCAAGAGGGGTCACCCCAGAGGCAGCTTGGGCCCAGGGGCTGCAGGCAAGTGGGGTCCGCTCTCCCCTGGGATGCGGGCTCTTGATGCCGTGCGCCTTCTTGCGGACTCCTCCGGCTCAACGCCGAGTCCTTCGTTTTCTGCTCTCGTTTTGCATTACCCCGCTTTTAAAATGTTCTCTCTTTGTCTTTCGTTTAGTCTGCTCTCCCGCTCTTCACGCTTCCTCTTCTTCTCCATTTACCCACTTTATTCGCTCTCCCCTTTGCTCTGCACGTCTTTTTTTCGTTCTCTACTTATGACTTTCCCTCCGTGTCGCTTGCCGGCCGCCATTTACCTCTCGTTTTCGCCGCTCTCCTCGCTTCATTTATTCGATTTCCTCCCTACCTCTTTAGATTATTAGTCACACTTTTGGGTTTCTTTCCCCGCATTTCGTTGTCGGCGACCTCGCGGCTGGAACCTCCTCGCTGCTGGAACCAGTGGTACGTTCGGCTCCCTGCGCTCTGCACCGAGCGGACCTCGGGCGCCCAGCAGGGACACAGGCCGGTGTGTCGGGCCCGACGTCGCACGCGACCGGCCTGGGTACCTGCCCTGGCGGAGCTCGGGGCGCTGCGCAGCCGCCGCCGTCTGGCTGGGATCAGAGGAGCCAGGCCAACTGCTTCTCATTAAGACCCAACTGTGGTTTTTATCAGGAAAGCCTCTTTCAAAGGGCACAGGCACGAAGCTCCGCGGACTCGCTCATTTCCTCCACTGACCCGCACGCACCTCCCCGCCCTCCTCCACACATTCCCGCGCCCAGACCGGGCCAGGTCCGGAGCTTTCGGATCCCTCCTGGGGCCCACGAGACGCAGGATCCGAGCGGTTCGCGGACAGCCCCTCTCTAGGCCTAGATTACGGGATGTAGCAGCGCAGACAGGAGGAGGCCGCGGGCGCCCAGACCATCCTGGTCATTGGGTGAGTAGGGCGACAAATGGCTGCAGGCTGGCCTCGGCGCACAGGCTCGCGGCTTAGGAGCCCCCTCGAGGAGCCCGGGGCCTGGCTCGCCCGGGGTTGCTCGCGACGGCCCGGTGCTGGGGATCGGTGGGTGGCAAGGAAGCCAGGATAGCGATGGGGTGGCCCACCGTGCATAAGGACGGCGAGGCTTGGCTAGTGTGACAAATAAGAACACAGTCATTTTGGATTGGAATGGGCCCGGCTTTGAGGCCCCCAGCTCTGCGGGTCGGTGGCCGCCACCTTCCCACCGAGGCTGAGCCCGGGATGAGAAATCAGAGGCGGCCAGGCCCGAGCTCTCGCTGAGCTCTCCAGGTTCAGGGTCCAGACTCAGCACCCTCAACTGAACCCAAACACAAGCTGCGCTTCTCTCCCCGCGTCGGCGACACGTTGGCCATGGCAGTGCCATGGTCTAGTCTGAGCAGTGGCAGCGGCTCTGGCCCCCTCTGGCCAAGATGATCTTTCCCTTCTGGCTCAGGCCGCCTGCCGTCTGTACTGGGCTGGGGGTCGCCTCCGCCCAGCTCGCCCTGCATCTCCCACCGTCCCACCACCACCCGGGAAAGGCTGGCTCTGCCTCCAGTACGGCGCCGGCCTTTGCCGCACTGGGGCTAGCGACGGCCGGGCCCAGGAAACCGGGTTGTGGCAAGAAGCGAGCCAGGCAGAAGTTGAGGAGTTAGCAAGCGGGAAGGGAAGCTGGGAGGCCTAGGCCGGCCCAACTCCGGAACCACAGGGGCTCAGGCTGCGCGCTGGGGGCCGCGCCCCGCGTTACCTTCTGCGGGGCCTTCGTAGAAGTGGCCGCCGTTGAGCGCCGGGCTGGGCCCGAGGTCCTGCAGGTACTTGGCTGGTGGCTTGGCCGGCTCTGGGAGGTAGGGCTCCAGGGGCCCGCAGGCCGGAAAGCGGGTCAGCCGCGGGCCGCGGGGTGGCGCGGGGTGCAGGTGAGGCGCAGTGGCCGGGGTCCCCGGGGGGCCGGGAGGCTCGTCCCCCGCGGCTGCATAGGAGCCAGGCCCCGGCCCCACGCCGAAGGGCGTGCAGCGCCCAGGGTCCATGCTGGCTCGGGGTGCACAGGCCGGCGGGGGCTCCAGTGCTCGCTCTGCCTGAGCGGCCTGTGCGCGCCCGCCGAGGGGGAGGGACCTGGGCGCGGGGGCGCGGAGCCCCCGGGAGCGGCGCACGCCGCGGGGGGCGGGGGGCAGGCGAGGGGGCCGCGCCTCTGACTTAATGCTGGAACCATCCACGTCACGTGCGGCCCCGCGCGTGTTAACCCCTCGGAGTCCAGGAGCCCCCTGATTCACCCCAAGCCTCGAATCTCAGGCAACCCCAGAGTGGGAGAGGATCCACGGGGACACGGCGAGGTCCCTTTTGTCTGCCATCCGACTGAGCCCTAGTCTCAGAGCACCGACCTTGGCCTTGAGACCCAGTTTAAAGGCTCAATCTTGGCCCTTAGAATCGAGGCTGAGTAGGGCCCAGAACTACGCTCCCCCATGCCCAAAGTGTCATGTCGGCCAGCCACTTTTAGTCCTGATGTCCTGACAACCGCCAACGGTGAGAGCCCAAGGGTAACCAGGGTCTGCAAGGCCACTTTACCGGGTTCTCTTTGCGAGCCTCAGGCAGGAGTTGGGAAACCATTGCCTTCATCCGAAAACTCTTGCCTTAAGGGGGTGGTGGTGGTGGGGGATCTCATTTCTCTTCAGGAGAATCACTGGGTGTAGATTGTGTGGCAATAACTTGGACTAAAATGGGGGGCTTGGATTCTTCGGCCAACACTGTGGTTAATTAGCTGTGGAACTGTAGTGTCCTCATCTATAAATGGGGACGTTGGATTGTGTAAACTCAAAGAGTTTTTCCTGTATATTCTGGGTAGGTTTCAGACAGGGCTGGAGCCAGAGCTGGAGTGGACTGGGAGTGGACTAGGAGGGGGCAGCTCAGGACAAAGCAAGCTTCAGTCGTGGCAGCTTTGGGTGCAGGTGGAGGAGTTAGCAGGGGAACTGTTTTCCTGTTTGAGCAGCAAGCATGGAATGAGCAACCTTCAGTGGGCAAACAATCTGGAAGTGCTGGCGTCCCCGCTGTCATCTTGGAGGACGTTGAGGACAGGCCTGTGTATCCTTCCAGTTGACCTCCCAGTTCAGAAGCATTGGGTCATTAGGAGAGAAGCTTACATTTTTCTGAGCAGACACAACCTCCAACCAACCTAAGATCTGAAAAGAAATACACGAGGGCCCTAGGACCCTGCTTACGCTTCCTGCTCAGTGATGCACCCTGGGTCTCACTTGGGTTTCATTTTTTTAAGACCTCGAAAGAACTAGCAAAAGGGGTGGGGAGTCAAACATCATTTGTATTTCATTTGAATTCTCAATTTTTAAAGGAATCTAAGAGGCCTGGTGTGAACACCTCCCTCTTCCGCTGGGGGCTTAGAGGGGGCTCTTTGGCTGTCCTCAGCCAGAGTTGGGCTGTAAATCAAGGCCAAACAGGAACCAGAAGCCTTGCATCTCACAAGGAGTCATTAAGCCATTATTAAACATACCGTGACTTCTCTGAAGCCTTATTGGTTTAAATGCCACATTAGAGGCATTATGGCCATTAGGGCCCCTAATCACAGGCTACAGACTGGGCAGAGATGGGGCTGGGATTTCCAGCCGAGAGGGAGGCTCCGCTCAGAATTAAGATTCCCATCTGGTTTCATCAGGGGAATTAATTTTCCTTGAATCCTGTGAATTCTTGATCTGGGCAACAAAATTGTATGAATTTCTCTTTAGTAAAATCTTTCAACAGTTAATGATTAGAGAGTATTGACTCTTTAGGGAGGTACTAGTGCCAACACAGGACACCTACTCACCAAGTTCTGGTGACTTAGTGGTGTGGACTTTTGCAGCCAACTCAAACGCACAAGGTTGGAATCCTCCAGCTGCTCCTTGAGAGAAAGATGAGCAGTCTCCTCCCATGCAATCTACAGCCTCTGAAAACCCGCCTGAGCGTCAGCTATGAGTCCATCTGACTCAGTGTGCATAACAACAACAACAGCAGCAACAACAATTCAATCAAGACAGCTTCTGGTTATACGATTAAGCTGGGAGCGCCCTGAACCAAGAAGTGTTCAGAAAGCCCAAGCCATCTGCTTCTGAAAGGTCATACCCTAAAAAACCTTGTGGTGCGAAGTTCAACTCTGCAACATGAGGGCTTGTCTTGAGTCAGAACTGATTTGTGAGCAACTGGTGTTTTTTTTTTTAAATTTTATCCTGATTTATTTATACATTCTTTTTCCACAAAAGATCGTTTCTGTGCAATCCTATGATTAACACCCCACACCCTATCCTCACCACTCTATTTCTAACCCCACCCCCCTTGGATGTAGTTAGATAGGAACTCCTCTACATTGTTGGTGGGATTGTACAATGGTACAACCACTCTGGAAGGCAGTTTGGCGTTTCCTAAAAAAAAACTGAACATAGAAATTCCATATGACTCGGCTATTCCATTGCTTGGAATATACCCTGAGAAAATGAGAACTGAGGTTCAAACAGAAACGTATACACCAGTATTCTTAGCAGCATTATTTACCATCTCAAGAACTTGGAAACATCCCAGATGTCCAACCACAAAAGAATTGATTGAGAAGTTGTCATATATTCACACAATGGAATACTACACAACACGCAGGAGCAATGATTTTGTAAATTACTATCTAACTTGGGAGAGACTGGAGAGCATTATGCTGAGTGAACTCAGTCCCACAAGGACAAATACTGTATAAAACCATTATTGTAGAATGAGTATGAGGATCCCAAGCAACTGCTTTTAAAGTTATCAAGGAGCTTAGTAAGGAGGAGGAATGTATGACACAGGGAGCACATAGCTCACAGTTAACAGAACAGCGTGGCTTAAACAAACACCATGTCTTCTGCCACAGCTGAGCCTCAAAGTCTTCATCACGAAAACGGGGCATACACAAGAGAGAAACATAATAAATATTCGTGATTATGTAATACACAATGTACATGAATGAAAAAAACAAAACAAAACAGTGGGGTCCACACATGGTCGTAGGATATTTCTAAGCTCTGCTATGTGATGAATGAGGCTGACTGGTGATGATGATGGCGATGAGCTCTTGTTTCCATCCCTAAATTGGCCAAAGCCCCCTTGATCCGGACTGAATGGGCCTGGTGCTGGGGCCTGAGCAGAGACTTGCAGGGGTCAGCACCTCTTCCTACACCCAGATGTCCCCTCTGGTATTCTCCCAGTCTCCAAAGAGAACAAATCTTGCCAAGACAGTGCTGTCAGTTGAGCTGAAAGGCAGGAAGTCGCAGATTACATACAGATTGGATGAGAGGATGGAGTTGCCCACCCTGAGAGGGGATTTCTCCCCAGAACCATGCAAGCGGGGCACTGGGAGAAAGCATTGCTGTTCCTCATTTAAGTCACTAGTGCAAATGCTTATCTTTATCTGTATATTGTCTGGGAAGAGCTGGACAGGAGAGGTTCTCAGTGGCCTTCCAGGATGTAGAAAATGTAGAAAAAGCCACCTCAGCATTACTAAACCTTCCTTCCGAAACAGCCAGGAGACCTCAGGGACCCTCATTTTACAGATTAAAACAATAGCCAACCCTTAGCGCACTGCCTGATGTGTTCTCCATACGTTGATTTAGTGACTCCTCACGACAGTGCCAGGAGGTGGACACAATTACTATCCTCGTTTTATTGGGAAAGAAACTTGAGGCCACAGATGAGGTCATCTGTCAGTGGTGACACAGCCAGTTAGCAGCAGAAACAGAATATATACCCATGTCCACGGGTCACATTCACTCAGTCTTTCTTCAACCAATACAGCAAAGATGAAATAATTCAGTGCACACTCTTGTTCTTCCAGCATGCAACTGCAGAACTTCTTTTTCAATTGCACTGTGGTGGAGCATTGGTGGCCTAGTGGCAAGAAGCTGTACTGCAATCCTAAAGGCACCTGGTTCGAATCTACCAGCTCCTTCATGGGAGAAGGATGGGCAGTCTCCTCCTATGCAGTTTACTGTCCCTGAAAACCTGCTGCTGGAGGGTCAGTTATGTGTTGGTTCTGATTCGATGGTAAGCAATCACAGGTACATATAATAATAAAAAAAATTCCAAACCATTAGCCATTGTTAGGGTTACACTTAAGTGCGCTTAATGACATGCATCATATGATGCAGACGTCATTATCATTCTTTGTTAAAATGTTTTCCATCATTCCAAAGAGAAGCTCAGTAAGTTTAGGATTTCTTTCAGAAAGGGAAGTTGAGGACAGAGCAGTGCAGGGACAGAGCCAGTCCGGGGTTGACCCCTCATGTCTGGATGAGTACCAAATGGCTGTTCACAGAGATGCTCGCAGCCCAGCTGTGGTGGCCCCGACAGTAGGTGGAGGGTAGTTTCTGCTAAGCCAGGAGAATAAATGAAACAGAGGGCCTAACACCTGAGAGATTTTACGATCAGCACTGCCAGATGTGGAGCCGCGTTTTAAGAGCATTTGTAAGTTCACCATTTGTGCTGTTTATTAACCAGCTGAATTAAAATCACACCTTGTCACTGAGGCAGTGTCCAGGGAGTACAGGAGACAAGCTGTTGACAAGATCCATCTAATTGTTTTTTGCTGGCTTGTTTGATTTTTAAAATTTTTATTTTATATTGCTTTGCTTACAAAACGTGTGTACATTCACACTATCCTTCATTCACATTGTGTTCCATATAATCATTCCCATTCATTATGTTTTATAAAATTAATCACCAGGGAACTATGCCCACCATTAATTACCCTGTCTTCCCAGATCTGTGCCAGAAGATTCATCTAATTGTCGTCTTTACAATCTCAGAAAAAAATAGCTGCTTTTTAAGTGTGCATACTCATTGATAGTTTCTATTTTTATAGAATTGTCATATACTGGTTAATTGTTTCATTTGTTTACCAAGTAGAAGAGTCTCCATTACAACAGAGCTCTGATGATGAAGTCAGGTAGCCAGTTACTCCACGTGTCTCCCATGGTTCAAATCCACCAGTGGCTTCAAGGGAGAAAGAGGGGACGTTTCCTTCCCCTACAACTTAAAGTCTCAAAAATGCAATGGAGTGTCACTATGTCAAAACCAGCTTGACAGCAGGGTTTGACATGATGC